CTACTTGGGAGGCGGAGGCAGGAGACTCGCTTGAGCCCAGGAGTTGGAGGTTGCTGTGAGCTGAAATGCCATGGCACTCTACCCAGGGGGATAGCTTTAGGCTCTGTCTCAAAAAAAAAAAAAAAGAAAAGAAACTGTCTAAATTGCTGCACACAGAAGTAGAAGAAATGTAACTGGGGTAGAACAATGTTCTAAAATCCTAAACTATATACTGCTACCATCTAAAGGCTCCAATCTGTAGCCCTTTAGCTTTTTGGTTGTCTGAGAGGTATTTAACCTTTCCCTGACATAAACAGCAAAGGGCATCCCTTCCTCTCCAGACTGTCCTGTCCCTGAAGGTCTCCAAAATTACTCATTCACACCCCGCTCCTGAGTGCATTCTGGGTCAGGGGCAACATGACCTTTCTTGGCTGCTTTGGGGCAGCCCACATCTGGAGGTGAGGCATGTCCCTCCAGAGAATGGCCCAGGATCCCATCTTCCATTTGGGCCTGTGACACAGGTCTTGTCTAGTGTCCAACCTGCCCTGCCTCTGTCTTCCCTGTGGGAAACTGGGGCTCAGAGATTGGGGTGAGGTGGCAGTGGCCTCTGACTGCACAGCTGTCAAGGCAGACCTGTAGCCCAGGCCTCCTAATTCATAGACCAGTCCTTCTGAAGGGCACAGAATCCTGATATGCTATACAGATCACCACTTCCTACTCAGGGCCAGTTCCTCAAACTTAGCAGAAGAGAGGGAGGCTACAGGCTCCTGGGAACTTCTAGGGGCTTCCTGGGGTGCCCTGGAACTGGCCAGAGCCCTGTGTTCATTGAGCAGACACCTGTAAGCACCTGCAGGGCACTCAGTGGTGTAGCTGAGACACCTGGTTTGGCCCTCCCTGAGGTCTTGGGTGGGGTGGAGCTCAAGAGTTGAATGATATTGGTGCAAATAATGCTCCAACCATTTAATTAAGACTACAAAATGCCACAAAAAGGAAACCAGTAGCCTTCTAGGGACCTATACTAGTCTAGGGGCAGGAAGGCTTCCTGTAAGAAGTGCCTTTGAGACTTTGAGTGAATGCCTCTGGGCAGGAAAAGGTCTGGGGCTGAACCAGAGAGAAGCCAGTATAGATAAGAAGAGAAAGCCCAGGGAAAGTGGGGATGGCTGAGACGGGGGGTGGGGGTGGGGTGGCAGAGACCAGGTTATGCAGGGTAGATGCAGGGCACAGGGAGCCTGGAAGAAAAAAGAGGCACGATCAAGTTTGTACTTTACATATTTCCTTCTGGCTGCTTTGTGAAGAAGGAGTGGGAAGTCAGGAAGAAGTACTATGAGCCAAGAGAAGGCTAGGTTCCCTCAAACCTGGTCTTCTTTAGCAGGCAGCTAGATGGAACCCCCTAGACACAGTTTTGGAGGCTTTTTGTTTTTGTTTTTTATACAGAGTCTCACTTTTTCTCCCTGGATAGAGTGCTATGGCATCATAGCTCACAGCAACCTCAAACTCTTGAGCTCAAGTGATCCTCTTGCCTCAGCCTCCTGCGTAGCTGAGACTACAGGCACCTACCACAATGCCCAGCTATTTTTTTTAGAGACTGGGTCTCACTGTTGCTCAGGCTGGTCTTGAACTCCTGAGCTCAAGCAATCCACCCACCTTGACCGCCCAGAGGCTAGGATTACAGGGATGAGCCACTGTGCCTGGCCTAGTTCTTTTTTATTTTTAGTAGAGACAGGGCTTCACTCTTGTTCAGGCTGGTCTTGAACTCCTGAGCTCAGGCATTCTACCTGCCTTGGCCTCCCAGAGTGCTAGAATGGTAGGATTACAGGCGTGCACCTGGCTAGTTCTGTAAGGTTTTACAGTTATCTACTTGATAGTCCAGGGGCAGGCCCCACCAGAGGTCCCCTGGGCTCTTTCATTTCCTGGGAGATCGTTGTAGCCGCTGTTGGGCAAGTGGGTATTTACAGGGATGGGTGGCAGATGTCAAGAATGGTTTCTGAAAGGAAGCAGGATTCCTCTTCTCAGACAATGCCTGTGGAAGACAAAACAGACCCCCCAGAGGGGTCTGAGGAAGGCACAGAGTCCCGAGTGAGCACACCAGAAGGTAAGGAGGGGGCTGTTCTCCCTTCAGAGGGATGTGGCTGGGGGGCAGGGTTGACAGGTGCTGAAGACAGATATGGGGTGAAAGGTTCTTCATTTGGGAGATGGGTTGAGTCTAGACCTTGTCTCCTGGGGCTCAGACATGCTCTACACATCGTCTGAGTCCCTTTCCTCTCCTGCCTGCACCTAGACCAAGATTCACCACCCTGCCCTGATGACATCACTAAGGAGAAATCCACTCCAGCACCTGAGCCTTGTGAGATGTCTGAGCCGCCAGCCAAGAGGATGAAGAGGTAACTTGCTGAACATCTGCCCCCCAGCCCTGGGTCTTGGACTCTCATTTCTGCAAAGGCAAGGGTGGAGTTGCAGAGTAATATCCCTTCAGTGGAGCTGGAGTAAGGAAAGGGCCTTAACTTCTGGCTTTGGAGGAAAGTCAGACTTATTCCTGCACCTTCCATGGGAAGGCTTTCAGGCCAGCTTCTGGTATTTTCTTTGGGTCTGAGCCACCTAGAGACTAAGCTGGGTGCCAGGCTGTGGGGTAAAGATGTTCATTGGACCGTAGAGGGTGGGTGGGTTTACAGGGCTAATCAGATACATGTTAGCAAGTTGGGAAGATGAGAACAATCTTCCCCTATTTATTTAGGTGAAACTGAGGCCCAGAGAGCTAAAAGGAGTTTGCCCAAATCCCCCAGCTTGTAAGTGGAAGAGTTAGTATTGGAAACTGGGTCTTAGCCTTTCTTGGAAGCCCCTGGGGCTTCTTGGAAGACATAGCTTTGATTTTCTTTTGCTCCTTCCATAGCTCAGAGGAGCCATTAGAAAAGGGTCCCCCAGGGCAGCCACAGGCAAAGGTCCAGCCACAAGCCCGGATGACAGTACCAAAGCAGACACAGACACCAGAGCTGTTGCCTGAGCCCCTGGAAGCCCGAGTGCTGCCGCGATTCCAGCCACGGGTTTTGCAGATCCAGGCCCAGGTGCAACCCCAAACTCAGCCATGGATGCCACCAGTGGACACCCAGGTGCAGCCAAAGCTGCAGAAGCAGGCACAAACGCAGACCTCTCCAGAACACTTAGTGCTGCAGGAGCCACAGGTGCCAGTGCCACCACTGCAGAAGGAGGTCGAACTACAGAAGCAGATGCAGCCTCAGGTGCAGCCACAGGCACATTTACAACCCCCAGAACAGGTGCAGCCACAGCTGCAGAAGCAGGCCCAGACACAGACTTATCCACAGGTACATACACAAGCACAGCCAAGGGTCCAGTCACAGGAGCAGCCACCGGAGCATCCTTCAGCGCAAGTGCCAGTGCAGCCGTCAGAGCAGGCTCAGGGGCAGCCTCAGACCCAGCCACAGGTGCCATTGCTGGCTCCAGAGCAAGCACCAGCTCTGGTTAATGGCACAGCACCAGAGCCACCACCTGATACAGTAGAAGCGGGAGGAGGTAAGAGAGTACTGACTCTCAGCTGGTCTGCTGGTGAGCCATCTCTGCCTGGGCCCTTTATTCCTCCCTTGGCATTGTCCAGCCCTGACTCAGGGCAGCCTGGGACTGAAGGCCAGCCCTAGAACCCAGGTCCAAGGCCATCCATGCCAGGGGCTTTGAGGTCCTGGGTCCCTTGGGCCCAGGGTGGGAGGTACACTTTGGGAAATAGAACACATCTTCATTTCAGGCACAGAGGAGGCCATGCCAGAGCCAGTGGGTGCCCAGGTCCATGTGGAAGAGAGCCAGGAGGAGGCAACCAGCGGCCTGGATGTGGGAGAATGTGAAAAAAGAGCAAGAGAGATGCTGGGGGTGGGTAGAGGTGCTGATGTGGCAATATGAGGTCCACAAGGCCCAGCAATGGGGTGGCCCCTTGCTGCTCCCAGTCACCTCTGGGTCCCCTGGTGTTCCTCCACCTGTGAGATGGTACAGCAGCCCTCCACCAGCAGCAAATGGGCAGCAAATGGGCAGCCCTGAGCACTTGTAGGTGCTCGGTCCACGTGGACCTCTCTTGCTTTGTGCTACCTTCATGTGCCTGCTTTAGAGACCTGGGGGTACTTCAGGTGATAAGAGCCCCTTCCTGCCTGCCTATCCCCACACTAGAGCCCCAGACGTGTCACATGGTGACAGTGCTCTAGTGGAGAACACACAGAGAAAGCCACTTGGGGCCCAGCTCTGCCCTATAGTGTGACCATGGGCTAGCCCGTTCCCTTCTTTGGGTCCCAGTTTCCCCATCTATCATGTGAGGGGTGGGGTAAGGTGGACTTTAGAGTTAGGTGGACCTGGGTTCCCATCCTGACTGTGGAGCATTCTAGCCATGTGAGCTGAGGCAGTTACCTGACTGCTCAGGTCTCAGTTTCCCTGTCAGGAAGGTCCCATGAGGCAATGCTCACAGGTATTTAAGGCTGGGGCTGGTGGAAGCTCTACTCCTGCTTCTGGTGCAGGTATGGGGTGCTGGGGGCTCCCTGAAGGTGACCATTCTGCAGAGCAGTGACAGCCGGGCCTTTAGCACCATACCTCTTGCACCTGGGCCCCGCCCTGGCGACTCCACCTCCACCGGCCCCACAGCTGCCAGCACACCCTCTAAGCAGACCCTCCAGTTCTTCTGCTACATCTGCAAGGCCAACTGCAACAGCCAGCAGGTACTGCGAAGCCAGGCTGGGGGCAGGGGAGTTGGGTCTCCACAGGATGCCCACCCACCCTTCTTCCAGCTGCCTCAGGGGCCTCACTGAGCACTTGAGCACTTGAGCCCTTCCCTAAGCAGCTGTGTGTTTGCACTGGAGACATTTCCTGAACAGCCAAGAAGATAGGTTGTTAGAATCAGGCAGACCTGGTTCAAATTGGCCCTGACCAGCTGTGTGGGGCTCTGAATTCCACCCCCTGTGCCTCACTTTCTTTTTGTGTCAGATAAACATTTAGAGTTTACCTCATTGAGTGGTTCTGGGGATTTAACAACTTGATACTGGAGGGGTGAGCCCAGGCCTGGCCTGAAGTGAGCACAGCAGTAATAACCCTAGCATTGTGCTTGTATTATCACTGGTATTTGCTGTTGTTACCTCTGTCACTCTGTGCCTGCTCTAGCCTGTGTGGGGCTGTTGGAGAGAAATGTCTCCCAGTGGCGAACCTAGGGCTGGCATCTCACTCCCTCTCTCTCATTGTAGGAGTTCCAGGACCACCTATCAGAGGCACAGCACCAGCGGCGGATAGGGGAGATCCAGCACATGAGCCAGTCCTGCCTGTTGTCCCTGCTGCCCGTGCCCCGGGATGTCCTGGAGAGAGAGGCAGAGTGAGTGGGGGGTCATGGAAGTTCTGTGCTGGGGGTGGGCAGGCTCATGGACCACACTTGGATCTCTCATCTGTAAGGTCTGCCTTTGGGTTGGGCACTACCCTTTCTGCCCAGGCATCTTCACATTATTTGCTGTGTGACCTTGAGCCTCAGTTTTCCCCATCTGTAAAATGGCCCGGTGCAGGAATTTGTGACCACTTCTTAAGGCTCCATCCAGGCAGGAGCAGTGTGACCATCAGTGTCAGAGGGGGTAGTTTAAATCACAAACCCTTGCCCCCCTGGGGGCACCATGGTGAGAGTAGTTCATCCTTTGGCCAGGGGGTAGGACTTCCTTGCATCTCCCCATCCTATTGCCATGGGAGCTTGGCAGATCAGAATTTCAGCCCTCCTGGAGTCTGGGACTAGCTCTTGGGGTAAGAAGGCCTGTTGGGAAGCTGGTGGAGCTTCCAGGACCCTGTGGGTAGTTACAGAGGCCTACAGGGCCAAGTCTGGGAGGTGTCATCAGAGCAGAACACCACCCTGGGGATGTGACCTCTGTCTCACAGGACAGCTGCATCTTAGCTCCTGTGCTAGTTTTTTTAGGAGAATCCAGAAATCTAGATTTGTATGTGAAATCTAAGATTTCAAAATCTTAACAGCTATTTCAGAATCCAAACAAAACAAACTCTATGGAGGCTGAATCAAACAGTCCCTTGAGTCATTGGTCAGGGACTCTGTCCTGAGTTTATAGAGGTCACAGTCTGAAGCTCCCTGATGAAGGGACATGAAAGGCTCTTGGTTGACCTCCTCTTGCATGCCTCCTGTAGCAGGGAGCCCCTTCTCTCCTATGGCAGCCTGCAGCTCTGCTAGCTGGTTCTGACTTTGAGAAGAGCTTCCTTATGTGGTTTTATACTTAGGTGAAATAATCATAAACACAGGAAAAAGGTGACTCACAATGATGTTCTTTGTAGTTAATTTAATGATGAAAAAATCTAATTGTAAATGATCAAAAAAATTCAAAATTAGGGTACTGATTAGATCGGTTAAGGCCTGTTAGCTCAGATACTTGCAGGACATGTATATAATGCAGCAACATGATGCAACATCAGGGTGAAATGGGTTCGCAGTCATGCATGCAGAATGAGTTTGACTATATACTAAAGGTATCTTGACACAGAAGAAAACTAGCAGGGCATAACACAGGCTGCTAACTAGCTTCAGGTGGAGGAGATTCATCCAACATCTGTTCAATGACTTGGCCCCCAGCCCTAGAAGCCATGAAAAACATGACAGCTTTTCCAATAGGCTGCCTGTTCCTCCATCATCCAGCGCGGTCAGAAACTCTAAGCTGACCCCTAGCGGGGCCCTGGAGGTTCCAGGATGGGATCCAGTAGGGTAGAGGAGGGATCAGGTCCTCCCAATTCATTCTGGGAATGGATGGCAGTGGTACTCTGGATCCGTGAGGGGGCTCACTGGGATGGGGACAGTTCAGGAATGGAGGGAGGGTCAATAAAAGCCCAGTGAAAGGCAGGGCATCGGCAGGGCATGGTGGTTCACGCCTGTTGTCCCAGCGCTGTGGGAGGCCGAGGCAGGTGGATCCCCTGAGCTCAGCTGAGTTCGAGACCAGAGGAAGATCAGCATGAGCCAGAGTGAGACCCCGTCTCTTAAAAAAAAAAAAAAAAAAAAAGCCGGACGTTGTGGCGAGCACTTGTAATGCCAGTTACTTGGGGGGCAAAAGGGCAAGAGAATTGCTAAAGAAAGAAAGAAAAAAAACCAAAAAAACCTTCAAACTAAGATGAAGTGAAAGTTAGCTGAAATTGAAAGCAAAAAAAAAAAAAAAACGGGCATCTACACTGAAGGGTAAATAAGAATATTCAAAGCCATATATCCTCAGTTATATCACCATTATGCCTCTGGAACATGCCAGTAATAATCAGAGCCACTTCAGAACCATCCCATGGCCAGGATGCGGTGTTTTGACTGCCTGAGTGACACTCTGTTGCAAAAAAAAAAAAAAAGATTTTTACTGAGGTCAATAATTGTTCCTAACCCCTTAAACCTGTACTGGAACCCCACTATGTGGTTGATGTGGCTCTTTTTTATTTAAAAAAAAATTTTTTTTTCTTATGACAACAGTTTGTTCATTATATAACATTTTGAAAATACAAGAACACAGACACACAAGAAGATAAAAATTGTCTGTAATTCCATTTGCCCAGAAATAAATACTACTTACATTTTTACCTACCTCATCCCATAATCCTTTCTATGTTTATATAATCTCTAAAATTAAAAATGAGAATCGGCTCAGTGCCTGTGGGTCAAGTGGCTAAGGCGCCAGCCACATACACCTAAGGTGACGGGTTCAAATCCAGCCTGGGCCCGCCAAACAACAATGACGGCTGCAACTAAAAAGTAGCTGGGTGTTGTGGCAGGCGCCTGTGGTCCCAGCTACTTGGGAGGCTGAGGCTGGAGACTTGCTTGAGCCCAGGAGTTGGAGGTTGCTGTGAGCTGTAATGCCATAGCACTCT